AAGTAAGCTACACTTCCTTGTTCCCACCCAGACGTGATACCGCCGCCGGCCGCGATGGACGCGCTCCGTCCGTCGGCCGTGCTGCTCCTCAGCTGCGCGCTGCTGGCCGGCGCCTCGTACGTCCGCAGGCTGGATGTGTTCTCCGCAGGACCACTGGCCGAGTCTGCAGCGCCGTCTCTTCTCAGCTGCGCCGCCTGGTGCAACAGGACGTCCGGCTGTGTCGGCTTCACGTTCACCGACGGCGGACAATGCCAGCTGTTTGACGGTATCCTGAGGTCGGGTGCCGACACCAGTTCCGCTGTCCCGTTGACTTACTCCCTTGTCAAGGTGGAACCTTGTCCCTCTGGCTGGCTTCGATTTAGAGACAGCTGTTACACTCGCCAAAATCCGGACATCAAGCAGATATGGGATGAGTACAGGGTTGCCTGTCAGGGTCTTGCGAAGAACGCAGATTTGGCTGTTCCTGACGATGACCCAGAGGTCATATGGATGGCACATCATCCTTCACGGCCCTCGGTTCACGAGTACGTTGGACTGAAGATTAACGCGGGAGCAGTCGTCAATATGGATGGCACAAGCTACTCTGTCCAGCTAGACTTGTATAGCATGACTGACCCCGGTTGTGTGAACTTGCGTAGCTCCAGGAAACTGGTAAAGCCGTTTAACTCATTCACTTGCGACACAACACGAGATGGTTTCGTGTGTGAGTCACCGAGCATCTGTTCGCCCTGTCCCTACGGCTGGCTCACCCTGGACGACTACTGCTACCACTACGTCTCCACGGCCATGGCCTGGCAGGCCGCTGATGACCACTGTGCGGGACTGCAGCCGGGAGCCCGCCTCTCGCCCGTCATCAGCATGGAGATCTACACCGTTTTGTACCACAGCCTCTCGCTACCCTCGTACATTTGGGTTGGACTCACCGACGTCGAAGTGGATGGAACTTGGAAGGCGGTGGATGGCACAGAATCGTCCTTCACTTGGCTACCGAACGAACCGAACGGAGGCACCGGCGAAAACTGTCTGGAATTCAACGCCAACGGAGCAAACGATCTCACCTGCACTTTGAGCAAGCCATTTGTCTGCCGTGTACGAAAAGACTTTTGTCTGGAGTAATGACGTTTGATAACACTATGTATGTGATTTCGCCAAACGGCTTGTATCACGTAAGGCACGATATCAGTTTCATTACAACCGAGAAGGCGAATTTGTAAAATGCGCGATTTTATGCGTTCAGTTGAGCCTATTTTGAAGTAGGTATGTTTGAAAGCCACTGCGTGAAACTGTGAAGGGGAATATCAGAAGATTCAGAAAAAATTGTTGACTGCGGATATTGTTTGTCTCAAATCGCTTTCGATTCTAAAAACCAACGCGAAAAACAAACCACCATAAAAATGGTGGCTTGCAATCAACCAGCCCCCTTCCCATTAGGTCGTGGGTTAACTGCAAAAATGCACTTATATTGAAGTCTTTAGAGTAACGAAAACGTCCTTCTGAGTACTTCTATGCGATGCTTGCCTGTAGGCCCCTTGGGGACACTGAATGTTTTTACTAAATGTTTAATGGTTTCTACCCAATGAAAGTAATAATTGTATTCTTAACCCAATGCTGGCGGATGGGGATGGGGACTGGGGCATCGGCCCCCACTTGAAGTATTTTTTTTTTCTCTCTCGACGGAAAACCACTTAACCCGCGCCCCGTTGAGGTCTGGCAGGTTCCACGTCCTGTTGGGGGGGGGGGGGGGCAAAAGGCCCCCCGTCGTATCTCCGGAACCAATAGCCGGATCGCAAAAGTTCAAACGACATTAGAAAGAGCTAATCGAGATGCACAAGATAAGATGTTGATGACCTTGATATTTGACCTGTGACGTCACAGGGAGGTCAAACAAGGTCAAATCAGTCCAATTTACAATGACGAGAAGTCGGTCATAAAAATGAAATCTAGGTTTCCAAAATGAGTCTGAATATGACGTATATGATAGATCTGGCATGTGGATAGTAACCTGAATGGATGTCGACCTGTGACGTCACAAAGAGGTCAGCCTCGACCAATCAGAAAACACTTTCGTTAATCGTAAGGAAAGGCATGTTAAATTGTGAATATTCGAGTCTTTATGAAGACATGTCATACATATGCAGCCAGACACCTCATTGACCATTTTCTTGGACCTATAACGTCACAGGAAGGTCAAATAAAGTCAAGTTGTACCGGTTTACAGCGAAAAACATTTCTTACGTAAAAGTGACTTCAATCACGTACAGGATCATATTCAGTCAGGAAGAGGTTGATAAGTAGGTATCATAAATATTACTCCTGACTGGTTTTAAGCAAAAATACTGAAAATATTGTGACGGCATAAGAACAGTCGCTAATTTTTCAGTCATTCAAATGGCTATATCTCTGTCAGTTTTAGAGATATTTTGTTATTTTTTGGCATGTGTAAGGTCCGTAAAGGGTTCTCTGACGTAGGTATATTCCGTTTTTTAAGTCTCTAAATTTCAAAAATATCCCAAGAAATCTAAATATTGAGGTAGAAAATCACTATATCTAGGGATTTTTATAGTTTGGAAATTTCGAAATAGCCATTTTGTGTGCCATGATTTTTTATATCTACAGTCCGATTTTTGAGTTTCTAGGTGGAAACTCTGATTTTCTGCGATCTTTCTCCGTGAACAGCTTTTTCGACGAAAATCGCCGAACATGACCTCAGTTTGACCTCTATAGCTGGTGAACTGAGATGACCTGGGACTTAATTTTTTTCAGGAGTTGTGTAAAATTGATGCTCGGAGAGGTACCTACTGAATTTCGAACGACCGCGAAGAGAAGCATTGTTGGAAAACCATAAATTGGAACTGACGCCAGTTGTGGAGGGTTAAAACGATGGGTGGCCGCTTTGCACCGGGTGGCCGCTTTGCCCCACTCTCCCCTACCGGGCATATGCGGTACCCCACAGTGAAACACGTACCCCACGGTGGCGCTGCCTATGCGTTAAATTAGCCTTATTTATTATTAGAATTGTTATCTGTAATAACTTATTATTTCAGTAAGCCACGACAATGCTTTTGCCTGCATCGTTTTCCTCTCATCGAATTGCGTTAAACGAACTATAGTTTGACCTTAAAAGGTTCTGAAAAGTTGACTCAAGATCAAGATCATGACCTGGCCGGAAAAAGTCATGTTGCATATCAGTCGAACCGTATCGTCGACCAGAACACGTCTAGGGTGTTTTCGTCGTTCTGGCCCAACGAAAAGTTATTGTCAAAAAACTGCTGGAGACCTTTCAAGACCTTAGATGACATCAGGGACTTAACCCGCGACCTGGTGGGGGGGGCTATTTTTTGCCCCCCCTCCAGACTTTTCGATATATCTCCAGAACCGCTGCGCCGATCGTCACCAAACTTTCAGTACCCTCCCGGACATCAATTTTACACATTGTGACCAAAAATTTTTTCCAAAGGCTATGATAGGTTGGCCGGAATTTACGTCAGAGTGACGTCATGTTCTGCCGTTTTCGACCCAAAAAAGGGTTTCGCGGGAAGAGCAGCAAAAATGCGCGGGAAGTCAGCTAAAAATGCATTTTTAGCTGACACACAGTGATCAAGGTATTTGTTACCGAAAGCTCTGTTTTTTAATTGTGTATTTGAATACATTGTCGTTTTTTTAAATAATCGAAAAATTCAAAAAGTTTTTTGAATTTCGCAAAAACCGGAATATATGTGATAGTCCTTACCGCCTTCCATCCACATACCAAATTTGAGATTGATACCTCTTTTTTTGGCGAAGTTATAGCGAAAAAACTGTTCAAAATTGATGACGTCAAATTTTTAAACTCAATTTTTAGCAATTCTAGACCCCCTAGCGCAACACAAATACCACCATTAGACTCCCCGTGACGAGCTGCATCGAATCAATACCCATTTTATGCAAAACTATCAACTTTAAAATTTGAGCTTTTTTTGGCCTGACCTTGACCTGACCTTGACCTGAACTTCACCAGAAAGTGACCTAAGCCGTACCTGATAGTCTTATAACCGACACCATTGAGTTGGAAATGAAAAATTGGCCATAAAACATGTATCACACAACCTTAGTAAAGTTGGGCTCATGTGACCTGACCTGTGACCCTTGGTGACCTGACCTGTGACCTGACCTGGTATTGCCAGTGACCTTTAATAGCAACATATCTACTAGGCAACTGACGCCCTACCGCTGATTCTCGACAAAATGCGTTTTCCTCGGTGTTATAGCGCATTCCCTAGAAGACCCGTGAACGGTGAAACATTTCATCTTTGACCTGACCTGTGACGTCATCGGTGACCCCGAGGTCAATGAAATTTGGTTTCCTTCGACAAATTTGACAGGCCTTTCAAAAGCCGTTTGAATTTTGCGGATCCGTCCAGTAGTTTCGGAGATACGAGGGGGGGGGCAAAAAATACCCCCCCACCACCAGGTCGCGTTATAAACAGACCACACCAGGGCGCGGGATAAGGAGGGGTTGCTGGTAAAAATTTCCGATTTAACGTGTCACGTTCACCTTTGACCCGATATTTGAGGGTGTTTGGAGTGGCTTTCGTCTAAGAGGCGCTTTTCAATTTGGCTGACTTTCACATATAATGGAAACTGGAGAGGGTGCGAAATTGACCTGACCTAGGTGACCGATGTCAAAATTCCCAGATATACAATTTATGCACATTGCCACTCTCATCAGTCGGCAGTCGCTGAAGTTTAAAAACGGTCGTTCAGTCGATGCAGCTATACGGCGGACATTAAAAATTTTCTGAGGTAAGGTCACTTAAGGTGACCTGGTGACCTGGTGACCCGGTGACCTCGTAACCTGAGCTTGAAAGCCCCAGGGTCTGGAAAAGATGCATGTGTGCAAAAAAAAAAACTGCGGCGTAGCGAGATATCCCCCAAGCTCTATCGGGTGCTCGCGTGTAATTTGTCACACTAAATAAAACTCATGCTTTATTTCCTTATAATGCCGTGCTAAACACAAATGCAAAGATGTTCCATCGTGTATTCGTATAAATAAAATATGTTTTCAATACTATTTACATTTATCATGACAAATACCACATTGTGCGTACACAGAAACAATTCAACACCATTGTTACATTCAATGGACGGTTTGGTACGTACAGGTCTCGCGGGTTTTAGCGGTAGGTTTTGCACCTAGAAAATGTAGTACACTTCAGGCTATATCTCCGTCGTCTTAAGCTTTTAAGTGTTGAAGATTCGATCGACTTGCTGGTTCGCAAGCCGGCCACGATCATGTAAAGTGGCTTCATCGTAGATCGATCAGTTTCTGAGATATAACCGGAAATGTAAAAGTGTAAAACCTACCGCTTAATCTCGCGAGAGCCGTACGAAGAATAGCGTAACTCAAATGTAATTAATTCGACATAGCCGAACAGGGTGAATTGTACATAAAAGACGGTTACACTCATATTTCAACCGTGACATGGATGTCACCTCACTCGCAGATTCAAACGTCGCATTCATGGTGCCAAATGTCGTGAAACTGAATTGCACACGTATTTATTTACGGATATTTGCGCGTGTATCGGCTGATACGAAAGTTACACGTACATAGGAATTATAAAACAAAGACATCAGCGGTTATAACAAAGAGGCCACATCAGCAAAAATCAACCAGATAAAATCGAACGGGCGCGCTCGATATATAGGGCAGGGTGTTTCGAGGTGTTCTGTGTGACAGCATAGAACCATTGTACCTCCGTGCACAGAGTACAGCGGGCAGACGACGCTGGTGGGGGCACATCCCCCCCCCCCGGCGGGATAGCGGCAGGGTCTGCAGTTTGTGGTCCGGCGGTCCGACCAGGCGCAGCGGTCCTCGGTCCGGTGGTGGTCCGCTGGCTGGCAGGTCGCCTCTGGTTTGTACTGTGCCTCTTACAGGCTCTATCCTGCCAACGCTACAATTACCGCGACAGAGCAGCCCGCTGACAGCGCCGCACACGCTTGGTCCGTGTAACAACCCCGCACCTCCTCCACCGGCCTCTCGTCGAGGAGAGGCTCCGGTACGACCGGAGCGCCCACGCGCCTCCCGGTGCTGCAGGTCCTGCTGCGCTCTGACGCAGGCGCTGCCCCTGACGCTGCTGCCGGTCCTGCTGCGCTCTGATGCAGGCGCTGCCCCTGACGCTGCTGCAGGCGCTGCTGCGCTCTGATGCAGGCGCTGCCCCTGACGCTGCTGCAGACCCTGCTGCGCTCTGACGCAGGCGCTGCCCCTGATGTTGCTGCAGGTCCTGCTGCGCTCTGATGCAGGCGCTGCCCCTGACGCTGCTGCAGGTCCTGCTGCGCTCTGATGCAGGCGCTGCCCCTGACGCTGCTGCAGGCTCCATTTGACGCTGCTGTAGGCGCTGCCCCTGACGCTGCTGCAGACCCTGCTGCGCTCTGACGCAGGCGCTGCCCCTGACGCTGCTGCAGGCGCTGCCTCCCTACACATTGCTGCAGGCGCGTCCCTCCTCGTCGGTGAAGTCGCCCTGGACGGCGGCCGGCGCCGTGGAGCCCGAGCCGTCCCCCAGCGGCGTGTACTGGTCGCCGCACGGCGCGTCCAGCTCGCACGTGCTGTCACTGATGTTCAGCACGCCGGACCGGGAGCCTCTGCGAACGACAGAAAGCACACGGAGCTCTGTCACGGACTTCAGTCAGTTAACAGTTACGGCGCACACGGAGCTTAGTCACGGAGCAGATGGAGCTCATTCAAGGAACACACGGTCACGGAGCTCAATCACGGAGCACGTGAGGTTCAGTCACGGGGCACACATCGAGGAGGATCTGTGCAGGAATTGTGGAACTGACCAAGGTATGACTGTCCAAGGATGCAGTCATACGGACAGTCATACGGAAACTCATAGGTTCTGGACGACACAATCCAACACTGATAAAAAGTCCAGCGAGCGCATTCAACTAGTGAAGCTTTGTAAAACCCGGAAAACATTGTACCAAAAAGGAAGGCGAAAGACTAAAGAGGCTGAAACAGTGGTAACACACTCACAAACTGAGCGGTTAAAAACTGAAAAACTGAAAACTGTGGGCATGGAAAGGCGGAAGCGATGCCGTGTTTACGTGCATGAATGCATGACGCAGTGTGTGTGACCATAGACCTATGAAATATGAATACCGGTATACAGAGGTCTGCAGTGTAACCAATTACCAAACAGACCTGCTCGTCCACGCTGAACTCCTCCATGTGATAATTCAGGCAAGAAAAAATCACGCCTGATTTAATAGCGACGCACTTATTTTAAATTTGCATGCTCATTTGCTATCTGAGACTTGGTGAGCCAGAACAGCGGTATACAGATTATCCAAGCTTGTTTCGAGTGTACAACAATCTTACTATGTAAATGACGAATTATTAGAGAAATAAGGAAGTTGTCTCTAGTGCTGTAATAATAAAAGTGTTTATTAATTAGTTTAACTTGGCAGCCATTGATCCGTTCACAGGAGCTTTCCTCGGCCGCCGGCCGTCCGGCGCCTATGGAGATGACCCACAACACACCGGGGTCACGGGCGGGGGGGGGGGGGGCACAGGAGTCAGGGGCGCGGTCGCGGTCAAATGGCCCCGTGTCGTGCGGCTCCGGCCACCCCTGCGACCCGTGCGGTAATTGTCACGCAATCGTAATCGGTAGCCGCCGGCGTCAGGTCGCGGTACTGACGTCCGCGCCGAACTTCCAGGGCGAGCCCGGGCGGCCCCCAATCACGGCAGGGGTATGGCCTGGTCGCACTGCACTGGACAAATGGCGGCCAATCACGGGAGCGGAAACGGCCGGCCAGCGGCGCCCGAGCGGGTCAGGACGGGGCCTGACCGGTACTTACCGCCCGGCACAGCGCGCCGGGCCCCGCGCGCCCCAGGTGTGTGAATTATAGCTTAACAATAATAAATATTTCAATAAGTATATAAAAATCATTACAAGGAACGCCATGTCATGATCAGTCCATGCCAACGATCAAACAATATGCAGTGCGGCCACGTGTCCAGGGTGCCACTGACCTCTTCTTCAAGCTGAACATGTTCTTCAGGGTGCGCAGTGAGACGCGCCGCTTCTCCGCCTTGAGCGCCTTGTCGACGCTGTGGTCGCGCGCCTTGGCGGCCGCCCGGTCTCGCTTCTGGCCGGGCCCCGAGGCGCTGGCTGACCTGCCCCGGGGCAGAGTCCGACACGCCTGACGGGGGGAAGTGGGACGTCAGACACGGGATGCAAACGAACTCAGGTGCTTTACAGACGACCAAGTACTATGATGCCTTATGCGACGTCTAAAACCTTCATTTCTTTTGTGCATTCTGACACCGAATGAAGTGCAATGCATAAGCAAAAGGAACGAACGAAGATGCGTGAATACTTTATCGCTAGTATTTTGTAATAATTAAGATTTTTTGTCTTTATTCACTGTAGGCGCTCAACTACAACTTGCGGTCCATCATGATTGCCTAAGTTGTCGAAAAGAATCTTATTTTGGGAAGCGATTTTCTTCTAATCGTCAAATACAGCTATGCCAACGGATACTAGCTACATTTTGCAAAGATGATAGGTATTGGAAATTGGAATCAGCATGACTAACCGAAAAAAAATTAATTGACAATCGCCATTGCTCCTTTCAGTGGCGCAGCCAGAACTTTGGCGACGGGGGTGAGAGACGTTCGCGATGGGCCCCCCAGCAAAGTGGGCCCCCCTCAACCAAATGGGGGTCCCTTACCAACAACGAAAGGTCAGATCATTGTCATCATTACCAGCCAAATCGGGGAAAAGGACAAATATCTCTTGATTTGAAGAAGCACGTAAAAAACGACAGCATATTTACAGAAACACGACCATTCTGTCCATATTTGATGGACAGCGTGAAATTGATGGCCAGCGGCCACTCAAAGGGTCGGGCTAGGTCAAAAGGCTTTTAAAAAGCTCAACATCAGTTTTTCGACTATTACTTTTGATATAGGAGACGAGGTAGAGTTATGACATTGTCTGGAAGGTGTTAATCATCCATACGGATCGGTTGATGACCATCATGAACTTCTCAAGTAAGGGCATGACCTTGATCTGCGGTCACATTTTGAAGTTGAACTTTTTATGTGAAATTATAGGTAGCTCATTCGAGAATGATGACAAAGTAAATGTCTCATAGTTTTTCTCACCGAAGTCCTTGCTAAAATTCTTAGCAAAACTGTTTTGGTAAAATGCGACTATTTAGATGGTTTTGCCGGTTTTACCCTCCGCTCTGTTGCCAAACCATTGACATGAGGCATTGAGGTCAAATCTTAAAAGCGAAAGCGTTTTGAAAGGCCTACCGAATGAGTTGTTCCGCAAAGCTCTAGCTCTTTGGTTCACGAGTTATACGGTTATTTGTGAAAAAATATAAAAACAAGAATTTTTCTTCGTATTCTTGTCTTTGTGTTTATCATAATTTTATCATAATTTCATCTTCAATGACCTCAGCGATGTCCTAATCGAAAAATGACCGCTACGATTCTGAAGCATCCTACAGCTATCCGTTGCTTTTCTCGTCTTTCTAGCCGTCTTAAATTATGATCGGGTTCGGCCGATACGCCCCCTCCCCCCCCCATGGCTGATTGCACGAGTTAGAGAGCCAAGTCGAACCCACTTTTAGCGCGCTATAGCTTTTTATGTCCTCGAGTGTCGAAATAGGCGAAACTTTTCCTTCGATGATAATGATGACGTGTGCTTTGGTCTGAACTGCAATATGACTGAAGTAATTTCTCCATGATTTTCGACGCTCTTCAGAAAGCCGCCTACCGCCGCACTTGTCGCTACGTGACCCTGGAGTCAGGTTAGAAGGGAATATTCAAACACCCCTCAGGGGCGTAACACTGGAAAGCCTGGGGCCCTGCTCTGCGGGGCGCGGTCGAGCTAGGCTAGAGCCAGTTTGGGATATTTACAAGCCCACGTAAAGCCCTCAAGAATCTGCATAGAGCACAGGCCTTCCAAGACTTCGGGGTTTAGATATCGACAATCGACAAGGTCTTTTGAGGCCTGCGTGGTGGCTATCAGAGGTCGGTGGGCCCCTCAAAAGCCGGTGCAGGAGCCTCAGGTGTCAGTTTGGAGCCATCATGGACCGGTGTTGGGTCCTGATAAATACCTAGGCGTCAAACCCCTAGACGTCAGGGTGGGGCCGGGCGGTGAGGAAGGCACAGGCCTGAGGAGAAGATTTTCAGATGTCGGCTTGGCAGGGCCCTGCATGGCTTTCTCAGAGGCTGACATATCGTACTGCGGGACCTCCATCATAGGCGGCGGAACGGGGAGGGCACTGGGGCACCGTGCCCCCCTTTGATTTTGGCATTTTAGGTAACATTAGCCCTATGGGCGTTGCATGGAAAGAATGGGACCAAAAGTCGGCAGTGCCCTCCCCCCCCCTCCCTTAATTGAAGGTGTTCCGCCGCTTCTGACCTCCATGAGCCTCAAAAACCTCTGTGGGCCCCCTCACGCTTGGGGTAGGCTTCCTGAAGCATAAAATCTCCGAGTCTTGAGATGGGCCCATTAGACATGAACGGGGCCATCAATATACATGTGGTAAGTGAGTTGACCTATATCAAACATGATATCCGCTCAATCAGGATTGGGGTAGGCCCTCTCACACCCAGACCAGGCACGGAGTACGAACCCTCCCACACATAGGATGATCCAGTTCATTCCTGGGATGTCTTCTCAGGCCTGAACTGGGCCCTCTCAGACCTGAAATGAGCCCTTCTCAGGCCTGAAGTAGACCCTCTCAGGCCTCAAATAGGTCCTCTAGGGCCTGAAATGGGCCCTCTCAGGCCTGACATTAGCCCTCTCAGCCTGAAATGGGCGCAAAATGACCTCGTAGTCGGCGCGCCCCTAACCCCCAACAAACAAACAAACAAACAAACAAACAAACAAACAAACAATCAGACCTGAAATGGGTCCTCTCAGGCCTGACATTAGCCCTCTCAGACCTGAAATTGGCCCTCTCAGACCTGAAATGGCCCCCTCAGCCCGGAAATGGTCCCTATCATGTCGAAAAAGGGCCCCCTCATACCGTAACTGGGCCCTCTCAGGTCTGAAATGGTGCCTCTTATGCCTGAAATGGCCCCTCTCAGCCCTCAAACGGGCCCTCTCTGGTCTCAAACGGGCCCCTCTGGCCTCAAACGGACCCTCTCTAGCCTCAAACAGGCCCTCTAGAGCATGAAATGGGCCCTCTCAAGCTTGAAATGGGCCCCCTCAAGCCTGAAATGGGCCCCTCTCAGGCCTGAAATGGGCCCTTTCAGGCCTCAAACATGCCCTCTAGGGCCTGAAATGGACCCCTTCAGGCCTAAAATGGGCCCTCACAGAATCAAATGGGCCCTCTCAGGCCTAAAATGGCCCCTCTCAGGCCTCAAATAGGTCCTCTAAGGCCTGAAATGGGTCCTCTAGGGCCTGAAATGGGCCCTCTCAGGCCTGACATTAGCCCTCTCAGACCTGAAATGGGCCCCTCTCAGGCCTCAAATAGGTCCTGAAATGGGCCCTCTCAGGCCTGACATTAGACCTCTCAGACCTGAAATGGGCCCCCTCAGCCCGGAAATGTCGAAAAAGGGCCCCCTCATACCGTAACTGGGCCCTCTCAGGTCTGAAATGGTGCCTGAAATGGCCCCTCTCAGCCTTTAAACGGGCCCTCTCTGGCCTCAAACGGGCCCTCTCTAGCCCCAAACAGGCCCTCTAGGGCATGAAATGGGCCCTCCCAAGCTTGAAATGGGCCGGCCCCCTCAGGCCTGAAATGGGACCCTCTCAGGCCTGAAATGGGCCCCTCGCAGGCCTGAAATGGGCCCCTCTCAGGCCTGAAATGGGCCCTATCAGGCCTTAAACATACCCTCTAGGGCCAGAAATGGACCACTTCAGGCCAGAAATGGGCCCTCACAGGTATCAAATGGGCCCTCTCAGGCCTGAAATGGGCCCCTCTCAGGCCTGAAATGGGCCATCTCAAGCTTCAAATGGGCCCCTTCAGGCCTGAAATGGGCCCTCACAGACCTGAAATGGGCCCTCTCAGGCCTGAAATGGCCCTCTCATGCCATGAAACGGGCCCTCCTAGGCCTTGGGTTAGTTCAATCGGGTCTTGAATGCACCCTCTTAAATCATAAAATGGGACTATAAATCCTAAAGGGTGGGGGGGGGGGGGCTATCAGGCCTGAAAGCTGTTTTTCAGTCCTATGACGGACCTTGACATTATGATAAAAAATTGTCAGGCTGCATAACGTTACAGTTCGAATCGACGGTGGGCCCCTAGGATAAGAGACGGGGGTGAGATCTCACCCCTTTCACCCCCCCCCCCCTGGCTGCGCCACTGGCTCCTTTTGTGTCTCTGCATGCGCTAAGTGGGCCTGAACATGTGTATCATAATTCTGTGAGTTCGGTGTTCCGATCAATACAGAGTCGCCTTCCCCCGGTGACTGGGCTCACCTTCTGCTGCTCGGAGAAGCGCCGGTCGACCGGCGCGTCGCAGAGGCTCGGCTCGCTCAGCGCCACCTCCTCGTACTCCAGTCTGCGCAGGGCCTCGCTAGATGTCTCTGCGTGCAGATCGTGCACCGACTTGGCGTGCAGCGCGTGGCCGTGCTGGTGGCGCGGCTGGGCCGGCAGGTGGCAGCAGGCGTCGCGCAGGCAGGTCTCGGAGCGGGCGGCGCTCAACTGGCCCCGGCGCCGGTGCTTGATGTGCGGCAGCGACTGGCAGTCGTAGGCGGCCGCCTGGTGGCGGCGGTGTTTGCCGGCCGCCGAGCGGCTGTAGCCGGGCCAGCCGGCCGGCTCGTCGCTGCTCTGCGTGCGGCTGCTGCTGGAGGAGCCGGTGCGGTCGATGCTGATGAGCAGCCGTGCCGTGGTGGTCGGGTCCGTCGAGGCGGCTCGGTAGGCCGGCTTGGACTTGGAGCGGCGCCGCAGGGCGGCCCGCTCGCCGGGTCCCGCGCGGCTCTGGCGGCCCGACTTGGCGCTCTCGTAGGTGCCGCTCTTGTGGGACTGCTTGGACAGCCTGTGCGTCGAGACGACTGGTGTGAATGACACTTAAACGGGGAGCACCATTTGATCGGTTCACAATCTCGGTATATAAATCACTCAAAGCCATTCATGCGACAACCCCTATAAAAATCATCACAAATAAACATTTGGTATTTTTCTCAGTTTGAAGATGCCTCCTTTCTTCACCGTCTAAACATACCGAACCCCACCACTTTTTAAACGGGTGACTTGTCATCAGCTACGAAGCAGCTCTCACATAGTGGGCTGCTCACCAGAGCCTAACAAATACCACAGTCAGTCTGCTGTGTTCCCGCGCCCCGTCCATTGACGATCGACCCCGAGCGCTCTAAATTCCCCTTCGGCCAATCGTCCGTCTAGCGCTCAGAATTCCCCAGTATCTCACCGTCCGTCCAGCTCTCGGGAGCTCATGTGCACGGCCACCAGCTGGAACGAGTGCTCCATCGAGTCGTTGAGGCGCGCCAGGAACTCTTTGAGGGCGTCCAGCACGGCCTGGAGTGCCGCGTGGTCGCCGTGGCTGGGTGGCGTGTGCCGCAGGATCTGCTTCAGGAGCAGCACGTAGCGCGGCACGCGCTGCACGGGCGACAGCAGGAAGGCGCCCAGGTCCAGACCGTTACAGCCCGGGTGCTGCAGCCGGCTCTGGGGACACACAGCGGGGTGGTCAGAGCGACGGACACGACGGGGACACGTACAGCTAGAGCGGTGGGAGTCGGGACACGTGGATCACCGCCGTTCTCAAAGAGTTACATAAATCGGCGATTTTCGTAGGGCATCAGCTTCCATTCGCTCCAAGTGGTCCAAGTGGTTAGGATTAGTTGCCGCGCACGGTTGGAAACCCAGCCTGAATTATCTGCATTATCTAACATAAAATCAGTGAAAATATTGATACGGATGTCCCCAAGAGAGACGCCTGGCAGTTCTTCGTGGCAACTCATCAATTAGCAGGACCTTACCTTGAGGAATTTGGTGAAATCGTTGGACGTGCGGCAGAGTTTGTAAAAGGTCTTGAGGACCTCTGGGAAGTCGTTCACGTAAGACGTGTACATACGAAGAACCTCAGCCTCATCACAGCTAATGAACCTGAAAACGGGACGAGCAGACTGTCAGAATGATTGGTGAATAAAAAACGGCGGCAGCTGTCAACACAATCGCTTCACGGTTGCACTGTAACTTCGCCTCATCCGATTCGGAAATCTCTCAAAAGCCGCAGCCTGAAGAGAACATATTTTATAAAAACACGCTCGATTACATATGTCAAAATTGCTTGAGTGCTTCAACCACTATGCCACTTGAGGTTTCATGAAAAAACTGATGAAAAAATAGACACTGAGATCATTAGTAAGCTACTGGAGCTCTGGATTCGTCTCGCTATTGGGTGAAAATTCGTCTTGCTATCGGATCTGATCTGAATTAGGAACAGAAACGGCTCACTTAGAGCAGTTGGATTGGGCAGGAAGAGAAAAGACTGATACCGTAGTACAGACTGGGACAGAAGAGACTGATACAGTTCAGACTGGGACAGCTCGCACTGGGACAGCCGGTGAACTGGTACAGCTGGTGGACTGGGACAGCCGGTGAACTGGTACAGCTGGTGGACCGGGACAGCTGGTGGACTGGGACAGCTCTCGGACCGGGACAGCTCAGACTGGGACAGCTCTCGGACCGGGACAGCTCAAACTGGGACAGCTCTCGTGTTGGGACAGCTCTCGTGTTGGGACAGCTCACCTGTAGAGCAGGTGTCCGACGTGCGGCTTCCAGTGCCACGACTCGAGCCGCTCCTCCAGCGTGTGCAGCAGCCGGCAGTGTTTCTCGTACAGACGACTCATCTCGGCCGGGAACAGCGTGCTGGAACGCCACAGGCCGGCTCAGCACGACACCAAACAGGGCGGCTGCGAGAGGCGACGGTACAGCGCCGAATTTACTCCGAAGCCAAAACCATTAGCGGGGTGGAGTGAGGAGTGAACAGTCTATCTGACGTGACCACCGTCTTCAGATACAACAAGTGTTGCCAGCGCTGACGGGCAGCAACCGGTGTACTTACTGCCAGAGGCAGAGACCTGAACGATCTGAAGAAACTTCCACCCACCCACGCCCTTCCCTATAGACCCGCACTACCTGAACCCCTCTAAATAGTCCCACACCCACCGGCCACCTGAGCCCCTCCCATTAGACCTGGGTCCTGCACCCACCTGAGCTCGTCGCCGGTGAGGAGGTCGCCGGCGGCCAGTGGCTCGGCGAACGTGTCCTGCAGCGTCCACAGGGTGCTGCAGTAGCGCCGCTCGGTCTCCACCAGCTCCCTGATCACCTTCAGACGCTCGGACTCGTCCAGCGCCGCGGCGGCCGAGCCCTTCACCTGCGGAGGGGAGAGGGACGGCACGCGGCCGGCGGTGGGGTCAGCGAGGGGCGGGTCTGCATACGGGGTAACGCTAATTGAGAGTAACGCTAACTGCGGTAGTAACGGCATAACGTGGATTAGCTGCTCATAGCGTCTGTACTGAGTGACGGCAATTAGTAGTTTAGTTTGGCTCGTATTTTTACGTGGGTGTCCACGTTCTAGCCTTTACCTTGCAGCATTTGTCTGCCCTCTAACTTACCTTTAACACACTGATGACTACTTACTTGGCTACGTCCGCAAGACACCTGACAGTTCACCACAGATGTGCTCCAGCCACACCCCTCACACCCTGTGGTCCAGCCCAGGTCAGGCTGCACCCCGCCGGGTGTCTTCTGTCTCACCTGTGACTCCGTGCCGCTCTCACTGCCCTCGTCCAGCTGTGGTCACATCTCTCACACCCTGCACTGCGCCCGGTGTCAGCGGTTGCCCGGCCCTCGCCCGGTGTCAGCGGTGGCCCGGCCCTCACCCGGTGTCAGCAGTGGTCCGGCCCTCACCCGGTGTCAGCGGTGGTCCGGCCCTCACCCGGCGTCAGCGGTGGTCCGGCCCTCGCCCGGTGTCAGCGGTGGTCTGGCCCTCACCTGTGACTCCGTGTCGCTCTCACTGCCCTCGTCCAGCTCCAATCCACCGCACCGTTTGGTCAGAGAACAGCTCAGCGTGAACGACTTGTTGACGGCCATCGTCAGCGATGAGTCAGAGTCATACCCGTCGGGGCCATCTGTGAAACACAGAGTCACAGAGTCAGTGACGAGTCAGAGTCTACCCTTCGGGACCATCTACAGAGCTACAGAGTCAGCGACGAGTCAGAGTCATACCCGTCGGGGCCGTCTGTAAAACAGGACAGAGTCACAGAGTCAGTGACGAGTCAGAGACGGGACCATTTGTAAAAGACATAAGACAAGGTAGGTTCTGGGAGAGATGTTTCTCGTGGCTATCATCTCATCATGGGCGTAACGGAGCCCGCACCAGTTCGCCGACATATAGAGAAACAGTACAAGAAACAACGCGACAATACACAGAGCAGAACTTTTTCCGGCAATACCTTCCACCCTGCTACTGTCCCTCCCCTCACTACGACTGACCTCTGTCGAGTCCGTTGACGTACTCCTGCACCAGTGTGGAGCAGAGGGGGCCGGCGTCGGGCAGTGAGCCCGTCTCCGGGTCCGAGGGGCCGTACGAGCGCGCCTTGTGCACGCCCGACACCACGCCCGAGTCGTTACTGGCGCAGCCGCTCGGCGTGCGCGACGGGTACTGGAGGCCCGGCTGGTGCAGCCGCTGTCTGGAGGGGGAGGGAGGGGTACAGTACAGTCAGACGGGTACTGGAGGCCCGGGTGGTGCAGCCGCTGTCTGGAGAAGAGGTACAGTACAGTCAGAGGGGTACTGGAGGCCCGGGTGGTGCAGCCGCTGTCTGGAGAAGCGCGAGGCGCGAGGGGTTACACGAACGGTCAGTGGGACGAAAATTCTGCTGACTTCCTAAAGACACTGCTTCCTTGGTGTCTGATTTAGATATCTTCTGACCTACCGAATAACACAAACCCCGTTCAAAAATATCCAGATCTCCTAATTAGCACTGCCCTCAGCCCTGGTCCGGAGCTACCCTGGCCCGCCCCGGCTCGCTGCGCCGACCGGCCACCCCAGCGGCGTGGAGCGCGCGCCTTACCTGATGGTATCGGACACGCTGCCAGTCTTGCAGAGCTCGTCGAGCAGCAGGTCGCGCTCGTAGAGCAGTCGCTGCAGCTGCTGCTGGGTCTGCTCCTGGCCCTCCTGCAGCTGCTGCAGGGTGGCCGTGGCCGCGCCCAGCTCCACCTGCCGGGGGAAACATCAGTTACACAGCCGGCCGACAGAGGGCAGACGTGCGGCGCCGAGCCGACAACGTGTGCTTCGATACGAAACACTTTTAGTTCAAGTGTCAGTTAAAACCATAGATATGTGAATGGTGGTTGCTTCGGGTAACATAAGATAAACATTATCACTATTTCTTATGGTCCTGACTCCTGCCTTCCTAGTTCCTACGTCCTTCATTGGAAAGCGACATTAGGTTAGGCGTCTGATCGGTTCAGTAGGTCTACAAATCGGTGAATTTTGTCCTGACTCCTCTGGTTGATCTTAAATATAAAAAACAAGCCGGAGATCCCACTCATTTGGAACAATGCGTGCATTATATTCCAGCCCTGCCCCAGCCTACCTTGAGCTGTCCGACCAACCGGGCGGTCTCCGTCTCGGCCGAGTCGGCGGGCGGGGGCGGGGGCGGGGGCGGGGGCGGCGCCGCCGTCAGCTGCTCCAGCGCCAGCGTGAAGGCCGCCTTCATCTCTAACACGGCAGCCTGCACCTGGGGGCAGAGAGAGAACAACAGTTAGATACCGGCAGAGTTACCATAGAATGCACCCGAGGGCATGGAGAGGGAGGTACACAGTCAGATACCGGCAGAATTGCTATGGATTGCACCTGAAGGCTGAGAGGGAAAAGCAGTCAGATATCGGCACAACAGTCAGATACCGGCATGGTTACCAAATCCTGCACCTGAGGGCGGGGAACGAGGTGCAGTCGGAAAAGGTTTTTGCACAATGCGTGATCGATTTACAAAAAGACACCTTCTACAAAAAGGCAGAAACCGTCGGAAGTGTTTTCCAGGTCCCGACTCCCGCGTAAACGGCCGACAGTGCTTATGTGGCGTGGCGAGCTATTGACCGAACTTCTGAATGTTTGACACGTCAGAAAAACGCTCCTTTTCCACCCCATTTTCACAAACACAACGCCAAAACACAGAGCGTTTCAGATCATATGACTTGATATCAACATTAGCATAGGTCGGTGGGTGTCTGAGGCTGCTTCAAACCACATTCCAGTTCCGCTTTCTCCTTTGCGGCTTTGCGTAACGATTAAATGCGCTTCACGGGTCGCACGGCACAAAACACCTCACCCTGAACTGTGTATACAGAGTCAGACTCACGTTGTTACCGCGACCGCCGGAACAGTTTCAGTAGTGTGTCAACTGTCACGTGTGGTTCTAAATCCCATAAATGGAGAATGATGTGCTTAAACTCGTACGCGCACATTACCGAGTAGACGGTAGACAAACCCCATCCAGCATATGTGCCTTTGCTGTGCACCTCTACTCTGCCCTGCCCTTCTTTTCTCTCTCTCTCTCTCTCTCTCTCTCTCTCTCTCTCTCTCTCTCTCTCTCTCTCTCTCTCTCTCTCTCTCTCTCTCTCTCTCTCTCTCTCTCTCTCTCTCTCTCTCTCTCTCTCTCTCTCTCTCTCTCTCTCTCTCTCTCTCTCTCTCCACCATCCGCATTCCTTCATACAGCCTCACAGGATGCCCGATTGGAAAGTCGTCCGGCAGAGCGACCACAATTGGCCGAGTGGCGGGCCGGGCGCGCCCAGCCGCCGCCCACCTCTGTCACTATATCGGTAGGCCGACGAACCCCTCCCCACATGGGCCGGCCCATGAGCGAGGTCGGGAGAAGGGACTTTAGGCATTAGGGAAACACTGCAAGGCAAGATTTGTCTGAGTTGAACTACATTTGAATCTTCTTATAAAAAATAAGTCTGTTGTTCGAAAAAGAAGTAGGTAGGTAGGTACTCTTAATATTGCATGGGTATCACATCACGACAACAAACCGTTTGTTAAGCCTTGGAGAGCGTAGTCACGACACACAACCCCGTAATTTATCCTCGCCTTCCGTCTAATTGCACCCTCTAAAACACCGAGCTGCGTGCGGACCGGCTCTGTATCAGCACAGTTCCGCACTCAGTCAGCGTTACGCCGCCGGCCGTCCAAGGTTTTCACACCATTGTGGCACGCAGATAACAGCAGAACGTCGTGACAACGGCGACATACCGTTATTCGGCGTACTGGGAGGGCGGGGTGGCGCCCTGACATGCAGATCCCGGCACCACCGGAGCAGCCTCCACCGCGCTGTGTGACCTTGGTGTGCCCAGGGAGGGTGGAGGAGCCGCATGAAGCCCCCCCCCCCCCTAGGTGGTGGATGGGGACGCCGGGGCTAAGGGGGGGGGGACAAAGGAGGCGTGGCATCTGATCGAGCATCGAGCACGATCAAGAGGTCGGCGGCTGCCGTGGGGGTGTTCATGGGGAACGTTGAGAGACATAACGGGTGAGAGAGCTGTTCACCGGGAGCGCCGAGAGACACTAAAACGGGATCGGAGTGAGGGGACCGGGAGGAGTGAGCACTAAGCAGAGCGCTGGAGGGGTCAGGGGAGCGGCGACAAGCCGAAGACGGGTGACCAGCCCTATATGAAATAAGTAAATAAGGAGGCCACCTATATACTGCGCATGGCATCAACACTGAGAGAATATGTATGCCACGCACGGTTCCGGAGTACAACAGCGCCCCAGGAGAGTACGAGGCCGCCTCGCATGAAGGCGGACGAAGTCGAGCGAACAGGAGAGGAGGCTCGATTGGACGAAATCGGGACATAGTGGATTTATCAGGGTGGTGACAAAACGAACAGAGCGGCGGCTGCAGAAGGGACGTGGCCGCTGTTGGGAGGTGGGGTCGTGCCGGAGCCGCAGTCGGTCCATCTGACCGGACTGATGACCCACACAGATACCACCCACATAGAGCCACGGTGACGGGTAACGTCCTGTGGCCTTGTACCAGGGGGGGGGGGATCGGCTGCCGGGGGGAGGCGGGTGAGATAAAACAATTATCCATCATGGATACCTACTTCTTCCTGGACTATATATGCTTAAATATTTTCAACAGAAAAATAATGGATGCATTCAATATTCTTTTTTAATTAAGAACGCATATGACATTTATTGTATAAGTACAGGTAGATACAATAGGTAGATTAATAGGGTATTTATAGCCTTATTGAAGAAACTCTGCCAATGCGTTTATCAAAGATCAACGATTCTTCATTGCGGTGCCAGACCGCAAAAGACATAGATCATGGATGAGATAAGTACGAGCACTGAATATGAAAGGTACGATACCTATATAACCGCAGGTAATTGGAGGTTTCATGCTTTCGTAAGAAACCGGTTACTCCGAGCGGAAAGGGTCCGTCTGTACCTACAACTTGTCCACAGTGCAGCTGCCCCCGCTTGGAGCAGCTTTCCCCAATCCACATCTTACGGAATGTTCCCATCGATATGCCAGGCACGCAATGCCATCTCGGTGGAATTCGTTGCTGATAACTTAAACCCGCAGCAGATTATTTGAAATCTCCGTATTTGGAGTACTATTTTATCCGTGGTGGTGATCGTATATGTCCTGCAATCTGCAGTCCGACAGCAACTCATCATATTCGTATTCCAGCTTCTCCTGCCTGTCAGTTGACGCATACGCCATAGGATGTCAAAGTGACCTCTACCTTTTGCAGTGAATAGCAGCGGGAGTGACCTCTCGGTCACTTTGCCGATGTGTCGGCGGCGTTCCGATCCTAACTGTACCATCCCGTCACGATCGGACCCGTCCCGTCACGCGGCGGCCCGTCACGCGCAGCGCCAGTGTCACGGGAGTCACGCAGGTCACGAGTCACGCGGAAAATGAGGACACATCGCCACGCCGAGCGGTAACTCGTGGCGTCAGGTGGGACGAAGTGGTGCCGCTGGAATTCACAACAGCATTCATCGCACAGCAGCGCTCGCCGATAATTGGGGAAACCGTATAACTCGTCTCTAACAGCTGCAAAGACATTGTAATGGGTGCGTTGTGTCTTTATATGGTGAGAAGTGTTAGAAGTGACTGGGGAAAGAGTAAACAGGGCTTGGAATGTTGATGGTTACATGTTGATGATAATATTTTAGAAAGTAATTATGATAGATCGTTTATGATTGGACACCTTGCTATGAAGCTGATAACTGACTCGGAATTGGCTTAAGGTTAGCTGCGAATTCCCCTAGTTAGCCCAGAGAGAGTCCGAGTATCCATGCCCGCCCACGCTTCGCCTTCTGCCGGAGAATACGCTGCCGGGAGGACGCAGGCCGTGTCAGAGGGCGGGGCACGGCGCTGCCGATGAAAGTCCCCGATTGCGCAGTGCACCGTGACTAGATGACTGGTCGACCCGCGGCGCCTCTGGAGGGGTGTTCGAGACCGAGGGATAGCAGCTGGGTCACTCCTCACCACAATTAGCCACACTCAGCCATCCAGCACTCACATTTCTACTCGCATGGACAGCCATATCAGATTACGGCCAAAGACAAATACGCGGGAGCATCAAAGTACATCGTGATAGGAAAGGTACGATATCCGTCCCAAGTACGATCGCCGTAATGCCGTTGCTTAACTATGTATATCCGTAGGTCAGTATTTCCCCGCAGTGACATCATTGAGTAACATGGACATCTAATGGCGCGGAACGAATACAAAAGAGAAAAAAACAAGGTGAGGTAAGAGCAGTCAGTTACGGAAACGACAAGAACAACTGGAACCATTTCCCCTGGGAATTTTGCATAATATCGCCTAATTAATTGATGTAGAACTTGATACCGAACCGTCGCAGTGCTTCCTGGGGCGACGAATCTATAGATACCGCATCAGTAAACCTGGGACACAGCCAGCACATCATAGCTCTGAAGGCAATGACTGGGTAATGTGAGCGACGAGCGTTGTCCCACGGTGCGAGCTATGAGCCGTGCCGCTTCCCAGCCGAGCGTGCCGCTGAATGACACCCGTTCTGTGGAAGTGACGCCGCCCGTCTATCTAACTCCGCCACACTCGGCCACAAACGGCCGCGCGGCCACCGACAAGACGTTACGAGGTGCGTGGAAGCACGTGGTCGTGCAGCGTGACAGGACCACGTCTTCTTCAAACCGTACTGGTCGTCTTCTTTAAACCGTACGAATCAGCGCCCACATCGTCGTATCTATTTTTATTTTTTACAAATTATCTTTGGCCATTTGAACTTGCAACACAGTCCGGTTAGCTGCACAACATCCTACACAAAAAAGCACGATGTCAAAATTGTCCAGAATGGTTCTGAAAATAGAACTTAGATTTTAACTATATCAAGACATGATTTTCTATACGCATGGGCTGGCCCATAAACATGCCGACCAATCTCTCCTTTCGTAACACAGCAGTGTGTGTATTTCGGTGCACATCCCAGCGCTGCCTACGAGCCACGGGCCACGACCGGGAAGAGCTCTGGTTGCCGCAGGAAACCGCTAAGAGCTAGAAAGTCGGCTGTGAATCGATAACCTCTGGCACCTGCCGGCCACACCGGCAGACGCGAACAAAGCTGCCGCCGAAACACTGGGCTGTTATACTGCGATAACGACCGAGCTGAATGCGCCATGGGCTCGCCGGATACCGACCGGCGGTGAGTGGATACGCCGGATACCGACCCGCGGTGAGTGCAG